TATTTTATAATTGGGTAAAAATGCTCGAATGCTATAAAAAATAAATTTTTTGAAAAGATTTTATATATAAAATTTTAAAAAATGTTAATTTTTCCATGTACTTTTAAATACGAGTAAAATGCATTTCGTCTATCTATGTGTATTATTGTTGTTGACAAATTTATATTTTTTAAGAGAAAGTTTCTGAAAAGATCAAAAGTTGGCTACAACGAAACGCATGAACTGATTAGCTAAAAAGACATGGTTGTGTTTATCGTGTAGCTATGACGTCACAGAGATTTTGAAGTGAAGGGCTAAAAAAATGTGATTATCATTATCATTTGAATATGACGTCACATGAATTGAGCCTATTGTAAAGCATAACCGACGCTTAATACGTAATTAATTTTCGCATGTTTTCTAGATATTATGATTCATCTGAAGATCTTTTTGATATTTTATGGAATTATAAGAATAAAAGGTATCAGTGGAATAAACTGTGGCTACTTATTTATCAGTAACACACATTTTCCTCTTAAAGGATAGTTGTATATATTGGACAATATTTTGAAATGCAACAAATTTTAATGAAAAACAATTCATTATATTAAACACATTCTCAAAATTTCGCATTTTGAATTAAAACTAAGCAATTGATACCACTGACAGCAAATGATTATTATAGAGAATATGAGATTGAAACGAGAGAGAATTTCTGAAATTAAAGACTCATTTGACTCACTCCACTGTTGATCAGCGCTGAGTTCTATTCTCAACAGTGTATCTCTAATTCGTTCCAAATGCTTGTAGCAGTTATAATGCCTTCTCTTCAGTTTTGTTTATTGCATTTCACTTCGGAGCAAAGGAAATAATCGTCGAAAGGGAATATGTGTTATCTGTCCCATTTCTACGAAAATCTAAATGATGTCGCAACGATGTTACTGTCCCAATAATGTTGAAAGGAAGTCAACTCGCTCGCGAGATGAAAAGATTTTAAAATCGGCAATTAAGGCGGCCTCGTGTCTGCATGGTCGGTTGGCGAGATCCATCAATTAGGAATGTGTTTTGAGATGCCGATGAGAAGTATATTGTTCGGAGATTCTGTTAGGAATTTCCTAATGGATGCCCGGATCGATCCGCATTCTTATGTCTTAATACAGCTGTGGTATTTGATGAGCAGATTCTTTGGTCAAGATTTTAAAGTTTTAACAGATCGGTAAAATTCTATGCGAAAGAGACTTTATTAGAGAGAAGACCAGTTTTTAATTTTAATTTTTGCTATTTGTTTCTAAAATTGAAATGATGCAAAATGATAAAAAAATTAGTTCTTGGCATAAAAATAATGCTGATCGATACTGATTTTATATTTTTGAGATATTTTCTAATATTTCGATGGTTCAACAAAGTTAGGGGTCCACAACAGAAGAGTAACCATAGTTCCGAGGTTTTTTTTTTCAATTCCTACTATTAGCTCACACTCTCTATGTATTTATTTATTTATTTATCTTGGTGGAATTTTCAATAGTTAATAAAATACATTTTAAAGCGCTCAATTGAGCTGAAATTTCATATATATGATCATTTTGGACGACAATACAATAATAATTAATAAAAATTAATCGATTAAAATTGATTATTTAAATAATTACAATTACAACCACGTTGGCATCATTTTTGGCGACTTAGCGACCCTTTTGGTGACTTGTGTCAAAACTTGAAAAGGCTTTTTCCCTCACGTTTTAAAGCATTCAGTTGAACTGAAATTTTATATACACGATTGATTTGGATGACAATACGATACTTTATAATGATAATTAATAAAAATTAATTGCCACTTAATAGTGTGATTCTGTCATATGTATATACATATTTATATTAATTGTAACTATTTAATAAAAAGTAGCTAAAATAAAATTTTTCTTTGTTGATCTAAGTAGGAATTGACTTAAAATATTTTTTTTTCTCACATATTATTTGTTTTTTTTATCGAGTTGTGATGTCACCGTAGATACGCAATATAGAGACGATTTTGCAAGCTACATTTTTTTAATGCTCAAAACATTCGTCTTCATATGCGAAGAAATTTGGAGAATGGAGTGCTGGATCAAGTGTCTTCCCCGTCATTTGATGGCGGTTCAAAATTACGTTTGTCGCCAATAGTCATCATGCTACTTTTCCGTACGATAAAAACTTTATCAATCACCAAAATTAGTCTTTTCCCCGTGATGTACCAGAATATACCGTGAGGACTATAGTGGCCTTGAAACTTTTTCGATTCACGGAGCCCTTAGAACTACAAGGGGTATTGGGGAAACCCCATTCCACACACAGAAGAATGCATCTCAAAATAACGTTTAATGTAGATCAACATGCTTTAGGTACATGCAGGTAAAGTATTATATTTTTTATAAAAAATAATGCAATTATACTATAATTTACTTAATAATATTACCGTAAAATCCGGCGTATAACGCGCACTTTTAACAAAAATAAGATCAAAAATTAAGGGTGCGCGTTATACGCCGCGTAACGCCGCGTATAAAAACGATAGCTTTAAAAATAACAAAAAGGATGGGCATAAAAAATTTACTTCTAGATGTATCAAAACACTGCTTATTTCAAAGAAACAACTTGCCTCATGAGCAAGAATAGTTGTAGTTCTAGAAGTACACTATTTTTCTAAAGTCTGGGATAATATCTCGAATAAATGACTTCAAAACATGAAAACAATGTATATTAATATTTCAGATTTCTTCGTTAAAAAGGGGGATGTGCATTATACGGCGAATATTCCTAAAAATTAAAAAAATTTAACTTGAAAGTATAGGTGTGGTTATATAAGCCGGATTTTACGGTAATTTGCGATCTAAGTGTCATCTACCTATGTATTATACAAGGGTGAGTCGGAAAATAAGTTTCCCGTGTATTGAGTGTCAGAGTTGTGCATGAAAGTTAAAACATAGAATGAGACATTAAAGATAAGACATAACTTTATTTTTCTACACTAGTACATTGAGACATTTGTCATACCGCTTGATAAACTTCAAAAAACCCTCCAGGAAAAACTCAAGGCTCTGCATACGGAAGAAGCCTTTAATGGCTTGTTTGACTTTAGCATTGCTTCCAAAGCGCCTTCAGGCGAGATTCTTCTTCAAAGTCAGAAACAGATGAAAGTTGTGCGAGATCAGGACTGTATGGTGTAGGTGCTCCCGTTCAAGAGTTGCAATATGGTTTTGCGTTGCAGTCACTAAGTGTTGTCTCGCACTGTCATCCAGCAACAGAATACCAGATCTGAGAAGCCCATGACACTTTTTCCGGATCACCTCTTTCAATTTCGACAGGGTGTCACAGTACCTTACAGCTACTGTGACGCCCTGGCTTCAACCTCCAAAAAGTCCAAACAAAAGTAAACGCTTCTTCCATATCCAAAGCCCTGAGTTTTTTCCTGCACAGTTTTTTGAAGCTTTTCAAGCGGTATGACAATTTTCTCAATGTACTTCGTACTTATGTGGAAAAATAAAGTTATGTCTTACCTTTAATGTCTCATTCGATGTTTTTACTTTCATACACAACTCTGATCACAATCCACAGTGGAATTGATTGATTGATTGAATATTAACGTCGCACTGTTCAGCTACACGAGGGCTTTTGGCGACGGACCACATAATTTTTAACCATGGTCAAGTGACGTGGACGACACCATCCACAGGGATACTTATTTTCCAACTCACTCTCGTATTTAGTAAGTGGGATACGTGCTTGCGTTTTTTTGCATTAAGTTTCGAATCTATGTCTATTGAAATTATCTGCAGTTGCATTTCATACTCTGCATTTAATTTGATTTTATATTCTATTTTATAGCCACTTTCGTTGAGAAATATTTTTCACTTAAATGCATTGTTCTGAATTACATTAAAATGTTTATAACTGTGTGGGAGATCCTGTGTATTCTGCATGAATTTTTAACCTAAAATTTAGGTGCTGTTCTTGGTTAAATATAAATTTTAACATCGAATCTTTAGATATGTCGAAAAGTTGTTCCCTCTTCTTCATTGTACGATTTTTTCACAATTGAAAAAAAGTGCTTTTTCTAATAGAAAACTATTTAACTGTGCAAAACTTTGTACTAACGTGATTAAAATTATTTCCCTTGACCTTAGATAGTAAACAATAGATTATTCACAACGTAAAGAAGAAAAAACCTATTTTAATTTTCTTTCATTATATCACACAATAAAAGTTTGTAAAAAATATTACAAAATAAAGTTATTATATATAAGTAGAATTTTCAGTTTTAATGATTGGGACGAGCTTTAGTTATTTACGGTTATATAAACTTCATAAAGAATATGAATCCATTTTGCTTACACGTTCATATTTTTCTCTTTGATTTTTTTGTTGTGACGTGTGGAACCCCAGGGCTCCATGAAACACAATTTGAACAACACCACTGCTTTAGACTGCTGCTATTCCCAAAGGGGTCCTTGCAACTGCTGAGGGGGCCAGAGGCAAATTAAAATAAACTTGGGGGGGGGCATGAACAACATTAAGGAGCCGTGACGAGTTTGTTATAAAGTAAAACTAAATTATTAATTATTTTTGAGTGTTAAAAAGTTTTAGAGTAAAAATTAAAAAGTTTAAAATGAAACAATGTAGATAGGTATATAGAATACAAGTGATGAGTCGTGCAGCTTGATGACAGTTTAATTGTATTTGGTGCATGATACCGAGACCTGAAGGGGAATCATTAATTTTACCTTAGTTTTGAACAAACAAGTAATATAAAAATGTTATTTTAAGATCAATTCTTACTTAGGTTAGCAAAGAAAAATTTTGTTTAAGTTACTTTTAATTAAATAATTACAATTAATATAAATATGTTCATAAATATGACAGAATCACAATATTAAGTGGCAAAATAAAAAACGATATTCCATTTTCTTTTTTATATAGGGTGTTGGACTATTATCTTTGTTTGTTACTATTTATTCATTCATAAATCACATTCTCAAAAATTAGGCCATCCCAGGTAGGATTCGAACCTACGACCTTTGGATTAGAAGCCCAACGCGCGCTATCCAATGCTCTACAGGGATGTTGGACCATCATTTTTGTTTGTTAGTATTTATTCATTAACTAAGCTTAACTAATGAATAAATATTTGAAAAAACTGTATTAACATATCAAGTGTCAGCCACTGTAAGTTTTTAAAAAATGTATTTGAACTTGAGTGGATGAATAGAAAGTATTTTACTAAAGATTGAAAATCTGAACAAGATATATATATATATATATATATATATATATATATATATATATATATATATATATATATATATATATATATATATATATATATATAGGGAGAGTGTGAACTAATAGTAGGAATTAAAAAAAGAGTATTATTCTTTGTACTGTTACGAAGATAAAAATGCGTTCCATAAGTATTTTTTGATGCAATTGATATCTGCTCTTGTTGTTTCATATGGCAAAAAATCGTAAACTGATCCATTTACATCAGGCCACTCGCCAAAGAACAATAGCGCATAGAAACCAAAAATTAAAAATTTAAAGTTAAGACATGACAAGATCAAATTCTAATAACACGCAAAATGTATACAAAATCGTAGGAATCGAAAGCGCAAAAGTTTAGAGGGAAAGTAATCTTGCGATCATGACATAAGTATCTTAGACAGCATAATCCAATACAACATAGATCTGATGATAAATAACCGCATATCATCTTATCAGGCTTATCCATCTTATCGGGGGAAAATGTGTTTTTAAATATTTCAGCAAGACGTTATAATTTGAATAAATAAATTTTCTTATATAATAATGTTTTATCTATATTTTATTTTTGAGACAACATTTATCATGCATGCCATCCAATTAAATTTGTAATTTTTCTGTTATGCATTCAAATAGACCTACTTTACTTGGGGGTTCAGGGTCAAGTCTCTGGTATAAAAAGGGGTCCGTGTGAACATAGTAAGTTTGGGAACCACTGCTTCAGACAGATCCTTAGTGACAAGATTTTCTATGCTCAAGAGGTTTTAAGGAAATAATTTTTTGAAACCGACTTACCATTTTTTTTTATTTACTGTTGTAAATTGTATTGTATGTATTGTTGAATATTGCAAAATTTGCATGTTTTTGTTACTTGCTAAGAGTGATAGTTATATCAGAAGAAGACATTAGAAGTAAACATTTTAAAAGTAAAACGTTTATTTAAGAAAGAACACAGAAGTAAACCATTTATTAATATTTTACACAGGGAACAAAATTGCTTCATTTAGAAGTACAATATTTTATAAAAATGTTCTACCTCTAAAAAACATTAAAAATATTTTAAAACTACTGATTTACATATGTTCATTTTATTATTATTTTTAAAATTGTACTTCTCTACTCGCTATATGAAAATTAACCTGAATCCGGGAATTACAATTAAAAAATTATCCACATAAGGTGTTAAGATCTGTTTATAATGTCCTTAAGGCTATTTTCGGTTAATGTTAAAGAATAAGACCTGAATTTGGAACATTTTTTCAGATATAAAAGGAATGAAATATTAATACGATATTCTGGCTTCACTATCCTCTAGAGAGCAGCATTTTTTTTATCATACTTCCCATTTTTAACCGAGTTGAATCATTTTTTTCTGGTATAAAATGTGTTTCTCATTTTTTATCCTATAGGGTAATGTTAAATGGGCTTTTTGCCTTAACGTATTAAAACAAGAAAGAAAGTATTCACGGAATATTTTGAAATTTTTAAAAACACTATATTGTTAACAGAGGTACGAGTTATAATATTGCAAATTTCCACGGAAATTGGGTCATTTTTCTGTCTGAAAATGTGCTTCGCGTTTAGTTAGAGCTTTCGTACTTTTACCGAAGACAGCCTTAAAAACATTGGGTTTTTTTCCTCGTCTTTGAGTAAAGGGCTGTTTTGGAAATTTTTTAACTTTCTCTTCTGTTCTAATTAATCAAGAGCATTTTATTTACTTATGTGCTTTATTGTTGTAGAGAAATATACTGTTTTTAAAAGAAAGTTTCTGTTATAAGCAAAAGTTGGCAACAGAGAATCTCATGGATTGATTGGACGTAAACATGTCATCGAACTTGTGACTACGACGTCACATGAATTTATGAACTGATTGGTTAGAAACATATTACATTTATCATATGACTATGACATCACGTTAATTTAGTCCATTCAGTAAAATTTACTCCTCAGTTAAATCGCATAGTTTTACATGCACACCTATTTTTAAAGCTTCATGTATGGATGAATTTTGTAAAGAAGTATTGGCGCGCTCAAAAGATCATTTTATCCAGATCTTTTATTGCATTTTTTTAAAGAAATACATAAATTGCATTTACATTTTAACTACGAAATACATAATTGATAGAGTGTTCTAATTCTTTTAAAAAGTACTCAAAAAGAGCGTTTTCAAATCGAAACAACTCTTTTGACTGCATTTTTTACTAGAAATATTTTCATTCTAACTCTTCACTAACATTCTAATAGCTTCATAATCCTCAAAGTTATTTATCCCGTAAAAATTAACACTTAGTTACGCAGTAAATAGTAAAGAAATTCTGATGAAAGCTGGAAACACAAGACAAACAATTAGTTAATTTTTTTCCCTCTTTCACATTTTTCAGAATAGGACAAATAAAGCCATCGAATAAAATGGAAACATATTGTTTTGAACAGATTAAAATAGGAGTAAAGAAAATAAGTAAAAAAAAAACAGAACAAAATATAGATAATAAAGTTAAAAATGAAACTTCTTTCAATAAGAGAAATTCGTTTGAAATTGTGCCAATACCCAATTCGAATTTCTGCACGATCCCCCGAATATGTTTTTTCATCACGGATCATTTCTAAGAGCTTGATCCCGCCGAGAGATTATATTTCGAAGCTTTGTGCCTCCCCACTAAAGACATGCTAAAAGAAGAAGGTTGCTTTCCTTCGATATCCAAATCACCTTAACAAGTGCCGAGGAACGCATCTACAATTAGATGATTTGGAAGGTTGCCACCAAAGGCCAGTCATTGTTCGACTTGGCGACGCTTTTTTCATAAAAAAATGGGACTTCCTTTATAGCATTTTTATCTCGTTTTACTCAAGAAAGAAAACTCATTTAAAATTTGTTTATTTAGGTGGCTGAATTAGAAAAGCACTATATATATTTACAACGGTATAGAAAAACTGAGCAATACAAAAAGAATTTTATTATGCTTTGTATAAAATGTAATTTATTCCAGAACTTCTCTTATTGTTCGTTTTTGAAGTATAAGAATTGGCTTAAGAAAATCTGAGTTCACAAAGTGTTTAGGCTTAGTTAATTTAAAATTAAGTAAGTATATGAAATCATGTTAAAGCTTTGTTTATTAATTTTTACATCAATAATTCCTTGCGAAAAAAATTTAAAAATGAAGATGTCCAAAATTAGATTCAAAATGTTAGAAGGAATCGGTAAAATTAAGAACTTTTGAATAAATGGCTTAATGTGATAAAACTATCATACGTTCATACCACATGTCAGAGAACTTTTCTTTATCAAAAGAGAAAAAAAAGTCAAAACTAAAGATATTAAATCTTATTTGAGCAAGTAAGACGAAATGAAAAAAAAAATTAATTATATAATGGACATTTAGAAGCCTCGTAATAATGATAATATTTTCATACTTTAAATAAGAAACATGAAGTTATATAAAAAAATATGGTTTCCATAGAAAATCAGTTTTTTCATTTTATTTCATGCATGGTAGATTCAGAATCTTTTTTTATTCTTTTTGATAAAATTTATAAAATATATCTAAACACACATTAAGAAAGCTCGGAATATCCTACTTTTTTGGAGAATCGTACTGTAAAATTTATTGTAGGAATGGAAATTTATGCGGAGAAAAAATAAGTTCAAACAATAATTTCATGCTGATTTAAGAATGAGTGAATCATCATTTTAGATATTGTAATAAATATTAACGTTCTTTAATTACAAATTTTGAAACAAAAGTTTATGACTCCTTAAAATGTGAAAATATACATGAAAAAGAAAAAAATACAATTTATTAACTTTTATTCAGTAAAGTTCTAGAGCAGTCATACTACTATAATGTTGCTAAGGATATATTTTATAAAGTTTACCTTCCTTTTTAAAATTTGGGGAAGTACACGAAACCAGTCACTTACTTAAAGTAGAGTAAGAACTATATAAAAAAGGTTTTTTTTTAAAATTTAAATAAATTTTTTATTTGACTAAATTCTCAATTACCAGCTTAGAGAATATTTAAAAGTAAGCTTGAGCTTGAAAAAGCAGGTTAATAATAATTAGTTTAATGAAAAATTAAGTAATTCATGCACACACACTATTTACAATTAATCAGGAAAGCAAAAAAAAAAATGTTCCCCATCAAGTTTGGCAAATGTGTTACCATTAGAAAGGCATTGTGTGTATTGTGAAGAATAAAACGTCGAATTGAATTAATTAAATACTGGCAAAGTTATGTCACCACATATGTATATTTATTAATGGAGTCACATATTAAGGATTATGAGAATTTATACAAAAACATTGAAGTTTTGAAACTGTATTATTCCTCCCTACATTGGGATATGTGCCTTGAAGTGGACTTGACTATAAGAAAAGACATCTTGATGAATTACCTAAGCTAAAATCTAGTATTTTCACTTATATTTGATTAACGGCATAGGTGTATTTTCCAAAGGTTTATCTTTCAAACAGACATACCCTCCTTCAGATCTGTGAAAAAAGTATGCCTCACAATAAATGAAGCGATATGCAGAAAAGGCAACAAACAGCTGTTTTTAAAATATGCCTGGTGCCAAGAGTATTAATCCTTACAATTTTTGTCAAATGCCGCTCTCATCATGGAACGGCACAAATGGCTGGATCGGCATTAAGTATCCATATTCTATGTACATAAATTGTTCACGCAAATGTAACGATTGTCACCGTTCACTTCAACTTCTTTCTATTTATTTATTTGTTTATTAAAAATAATTATGAATTCGACATTTTTTTTAAATGGCTAATTTTCGACGAATAGCTAATTCC